GAATGAGGCGAAAAAGTATAAAACGAGGTGAAATTCACTACAAGTCTGGGCATGTTGAGAGCTGTACATACACGAAAGGGGAGTTAGTCGGTTCTGTAAGAGCCAGCATGCAGGACTTGCTTTACAAGGTTTCAATGAGTAATATGAGTGCAATGTTTAACGTTAATGTCAGCTAGCTAACATTAGCTAACAAGGTACACTAACGTGTTTTGTTTTAGCAACAAGTTTTCTCCTTAAGAACTTAGTGGTCTCTGTGTATGCTGTGGATAACATTAGTGTTCACAAGAACAAGATACACTCCCGTGTTTTGTTTTAGTTGCTCTTCAGATTGAAGCGGCCAGTTTTATATCGACTATATGTGTGATCTCCTTTTTACATCTCGTTGTGTCATTTGAGTTTATTTGCTGTGTGTAGATTCAAGGATTTTGGTTATCTTGTCAATTTGTTNTCTGCCTCACCCTCTCAGACTTTGAGTTGCGCGCTACTAAAGAGACGTGTTACCATGGAAACCAAACAATGATCTAGCTGTATTAAAGTCCTAGTGGAAAAACAGTCCTGAGTAAATCTGATTTTGTCAGAAATCGGGAGAAATATGACCCCGGGACGAAACCGGGAGAGGGCAATGAAATCGGGAGTCTCCTGCGAAAATCGGGAGGGTTGACAAGTATGTGACTATACTTGAAGTTCCTCCCTGACTTCCATCACTTTCTCTCTCTCTCTCTCTCTCTCTTTCTCTCTGCCTGTCCTGTCTCTTCCTTACCAAAGCTGAGCTTCGACTGACGTAGTCTTTTCATTATATCTGAGTCAGTGTAAAAAGAAAACAATACAATGTTATATATCCATTGTTTTACTCAAATTGAAATGAAAGAAAAACATTACAACGTTTGTTAAAAGGTAATCCTTCTGACATTGGATGAATGTAATTCACTTTAGCTCTCTAGCTAGTTTATTCACGCAATTTAAACCAAAGTATAGCTGCAAATTGCAATATAAGTTACTGTGCATGTTGTCGGACGTCCACTGACAAACGTAGAGCGTTCACACAGGATCTGCTGGTCATATGATGTCCTGATGAACCGAAACACAAGCAGCCCGCTGGACTCAGATCTCTAGATACTTCATCACTCCTTCGCTGCTCCGGTACAAGTCCGGGCTTCTCGGCTGCGGTGGTTTGTTGTTGATACATGTTGTCTTCTTCTGTTTGCTTTAATCGAGGCTACGCAGTTATGCAGCGCCCCCATCGGCAGTAAATGGAAGTACTAAAAAGAACCCCATTCAGTGCAATTATTTCACAAGTTTTGTATACACAGCTCGAAAAATATTACCGAGGTCCGGACCTCGGTGACCTCAATGGTAGATACGGCCATGTTTGTGTCAGTAAATGTGTGGCAGGGGTGTTTGTGAAAATAACGGGGACAGAGCTGCTGTCAGACGAACAGCTGTGCGGCGTCATCACAAACGGACGTCGCTTCACGTGACGCTCCGGAGGAAAGGACGTCCCATTGCTCTTAAAACTAATTTCCCTGCTTGTCGTGGTTTCCTTGTGTCCCTCCATGCTTCCCTGGAGGGAGGGACTAAACACAGGGAAACGACGCAAGTGAGGGAAGCAAGGATTTCATTTAACCGACCTGAGACGGGGCCTAATTTTCGCGTCCTTGACTCCTCGGCCCTCTGGCAGCGAGCCGTCTCGAAGGAAAACACATTTCTCTAAAGGCTCGTCCCGGATCAACTATCGAGGAGGCTGTCTGGAGGAGCCAAGCGATCGACTATTCCTTCGCAATGTATCACATTGGATATGAGCTGAACGTATCCTGGATTGGAATTTTTCCGATCACTTCCCCAGGTTTAAAGCGCAGGAAGAAGAAAAAAATCCACCAATTACAATAGGTTCCTCGCACTTCGTGCTAGGACGCCGTTGGGTCCTAGCGCTCTCGGGCTCGGGCCCTAATTAAGGTCAACATTTCAGTTTATCAGTGTACCTCTCCCCACGCCCCTCTGCCAGATGTTTGGTTTTAGCAGATTCAGGTGATAAGGTTGGTTATTGGCTAATGCTTGCACAACCCAAAGAAAATACCAAAACATTGTGACATCACAAAGTGATGTAAAAAATATTAAAGCATATCCAAGTATCAAGCATAATTTACCTACTTTTGATTTATCTTTCTTACTTCTAACTTAATTTGAGGCAATATACCTCACCTCTATTGGCTGGCCCAGACCTTCGCATATTCGACACCCCTGAGCTAGTTGAACCTAAAGTGTAGATTGACTACTGCCTCCTAGTGGTTTGATATCAGCACTACACTAAATGTACATTAACGCTTTCTAGCAAACTAGGCTGCTTTTACATTGGTTTCTCTGCAGTGCAGGTTTGACAAGATTTTTTAAGAAAGTGTTTACCAAAATACAAATACAAAAAAGAGAGGAGAAAAACAAAAAAGTACTTCACGACCCTGGTATGGTGGAAGCTTCTCCCACGTTCACAATATCAAAATGGAAAATATTCTACAAATACTTCCTAATGATTATTATAATAAGGTTGTAATGTATGTTGACAAAGTCTATGTTACAACTTTAGGAAGGACATTTAACAGCCCAGGGGGTGTGACGATGGAAAGACCAGAAGAGAACCACTGTTTTTCATACATTGCTCCCCACACTATACTAAATATTTTCTTTACAGGACGGACATTACGATTTATTCGACAAGTTACGATTTAAGTTTTTTTAAAAACCACTTTATCCCCAAGCTGTGCCAGCGAGTAACACGAACAATTTCTTAATTTTTATAATAATTCACAATACGTTTTTGGGACTCTCCCAATTTTCAGACTCTAGGGTTAACTTTTAATTGTATTATCTCAAGGTATTCCTAAGATTTTTTTCCAATAGTCTACCAAAAAGGAAAACTCCAAAGCATTTATTTCCCTCTATTCATCTCTGGGAATTGGTAGAAACATTCTGTAATATTTTCTGCAATCTATGTGTAAAATTGAAATTGGTTCAATTAAAATGTCTCTGTCTATGTTGGCTCTCAATATGATAGCTGTTCCTTTTTGTGTCCCAGCTTTTCCCCTGGCTTTTATTGCTTTATCTTGTTGTCTTTCAATACCTCCAATAAAAGGCAAAAATATTTTCAAATTATCTTATTTTGAAATGTTTAGAATGATGCATGATAAGGGATGGTTATATCAAGAACAAGAGGACTGAATTAAAACACAATATAGAATAACCAAAAAAGTGTATTTTCTAAGCTGAAAGTGCATTCCCATGAACGAAAAAAAACAATTTCAGGTTGAAAATTATTATTTATTATTATTATTCATTTAAATTAACAAACACTGCTATACATATTGCTGTTTTTTTTAATTAATTTTGAATCGTTTTGAACAATTAAAGCATTTGGAAAATAAGTAATAGTAGTTGAAAACAGGCGACAGACAGTAGATAACATGTACAGCAGATCTACAGTCAATGGCTTTCCTATGTGTGTCCAGGGGCTCCAGAATATTTTAACGTACAGACATTATCAGACTCGCCCACAGTAATGTTTTTGGTTATCTTTTCACCTCTTTTAGTCGTCGTACGGGAACAAAGATTCCACATCCGTGCGATGTTAAACCCATCAAAAAGATAAACAGCCGATCTTTCCCATGTAGCAGCAGCTTGTATTGAATTGCAGAGTCCGTTTTCTGCATCCAGCACAACAAAATTCTTCCATCCACAACTTTTAATCATCTGATAACAAAAAGGATTGGAAAATATGACACCCCCATTTGACCCTTGACATTAAATTCATTAGGAATGTTTGAAGTAAACAAAAAAAGTCCCAAATGTTGCTGTTGCGTCTTTCTCAGTGCACAGTTTTGAAAACCCTCATCCCTTTGAGATACACACACGTAATACAAAATAATGAAAAAGAAGTGCTTCATAGATCTTCAAAGGTGTCCCCTCTTTCATCCCAGGCCAGCTGTAAAAAGAGTTTTCCTATTTTTCCCTTCCTTTTTTTCAAAAAGTGAACCACGTCTGGCCCTTTTGTTTAAAGTCAACACGGCTTCCACTAAGTCTCCACAGAGTACCTCGATGTTGGCATATGTTCGTACACCCGTAAATCAGCACATCTGACTTAAATTTAAACATCATTTCTTTACTAAAAGTGACAGATTTACAAACACAGTATAAACAGGGTTGACATCATTGGCAGCTGGCGACAGTCTAGACCACAGTTGCTTTTTTCGATTTGAGCAAAAAACCCTCCTTTCAGACAAAGACGGACGAATTACAGGATGTATCAAACACAACTTTTTTGGCTTTTTGAAACCTGACCTGCCCTGAGAGGCGGTGTTGAAAAATAGGTAAGACCTTTTATTTAGAGAAACACAGAAACAAGGTCAGAAAGAATCCAGCGTAGGAGGGGTTCGTTCAAAGTTTTGAGCGAAAAGACGTTCTCGATGTGACACAATGTGCAACGTTCTTCATGATGGGGTTCTACTACACATGAGAGATATCCCTGACATCAATGTCAATCACATACACTTTGCCATTAACAGGTTGTAAAGTTCAGGTACAGAATCACTGAGAAAAAGCACACCAATACTGTAAAGTCAAGCCACCATGGCAACATAGAAGGTATAGAAGAGTATTGAAGAACTGTTCATTGATTGAAAGTTGGCTCGTATCCTTTGCAACACTGAGGAGGGCTTTGGCCACCGTGAGGATGACCGTTTTGCTTTTCTACAGGCAGATTAAGGAGAGGACAATGTCTCAACAAAACACTTTGTAAAATATTATCAGCACAGGCCATAAATACAATAAAAAGATGGAAATAGCGTCAGAAATGTGTACACACTAAGTAGTGATTCCTGAATCAAGGTCCAAGTTACGAACTGACAAATCTAAATGGAAAAGGAGATGAGAGGAAGTCTCTTTCTCTCCTCAAGTAGAAATTCCAGTGGAACACTGACCTCGTTTAGTGATTTATTGATTCGTCTTGGCAGAGTGCAAGTGTCGGACACATGGCTTTTTAAACATTTTCAAAAAAATATATTACGAACGCGCTCTCACGATTCCGAGATTTAGGCAAGTCCTTCTTTATTTTCGTCTTCCCAGTAAACAAGTCGACACTCTGGAGTTGAAATGGCAAAGAGATGACACTTTTATGGGGTTGATGCACACACTCTTTACGAATATATATATTTTTTACAGTGAAGCAGAAAAAGAAGAAACACGTGGCGTAGCCCTTGTGGGACTCCATGCGGAGAAGGGCTCACATGGTCATCTTGGTCTGGACTTTTGAATGTGCTTACGGGTCTTTACAAGACACTGAAAGGGGGGAGGAGGAGCGGCAGTTGATTCTCATGTTGCCGTCAGCCACAGTGTTTGTTTCTCAGCTGAGCCGAGCAAAACCCCCCGCTCAGAGGGCCAGGAGGGTGGGGGAGTTGAGGGAGTCTGAAGACTGATCCCCGCTGCTGCTGCTCCGCCGGTGGGCCTTGGAGCAGGACTCGGAGGAGGGCGAGGGGCTCTCGGGCTCCAGCATGCTCGGGTAGGTGAATATGAGGCTGGGCGCGTTGGGCGTGGCGGCCGGGGTGGACGCCCCCACCACCGGAGTGTTCAGGCTGTCTCCATCTGTGCAATACATGCCTCCGCTGACGACGCCTCCGCCCAGGCAGATGGGCTTGATGACGGAGCGCTGGGGCTTGTCCACATGGTCGTCCGGCTCCTGCTTCACTACCACGTGATTGTTATGAGCCCGGGGGCCCATGTTGGAGCGCATGGTTAGCGGGAGGGGTGCGCACTGCTGGTGATGCGAGTGCTGCTGGTGCCCCGATGACGGGTGGCGATCGTCGATGGAGACCTTGCACACGGGGTTGTGGGCGACCAGCATGAACTCCAGCTTGTCCTTCTCCTTCTGCAGGCCCTCGATCTCCTTCTGCAAGTCGGCTTTCTCCTCCTCCAGCTTCTCAGTCTCCTGCGAGGAGAAGAGGACATATGGTTCAGTATTTACTCTAAATGTGATGTTTATTTTTTATTTTTGGTGGGGAACTTTTTAGTAGTTTATTCCATAGGCCAGGACTTTTCTATTGGTGACCCTTTATCAATATCAGTCTGACCCTTTCTCTCCCTAAATATCTAAACAAATATTTCAATACGAAAATAATTATAAAGAAGTTAAATGTGACTCAATGAAGTCCATTGTTTTCCCTTTAAATTCCTAGTTTAACTTTTATCAAACAATATCCTCTGCTAACACTCTTGAGTATATGATATATAGCGTGTGATTAATAATATTTGTTATATAAAGAAATTATATTTTTAGGTTTTAACCAGGCTGTTTAAACAGGGAATTTAGGATAATCACTAATAAAAAATTAAAAAAGATTAAAAGCCACATTGTGTTTATTGAAACAAAACAACAACTACCACTTATTTCAAGATTAAAAATGGGCAATGTTTACATGTTTATATTCCTAGCTTTAAAAGTCAGACGTCCTTTGGGACTTCAATCTGGCCCTTAAAAAATATATTGAATATGCCTGCCCGAGGGCATAAGCAGGATAGTTATAAGTTGATAAAAGCGAATATTGCAACAATAGTTTTTTACGAATGTTCAGAGACTTAATCCCAATACATTGTGATCAAGGCTGCAAAAGATGTTCAACAACCAGGCAGTTCAGATGTATGAGTGTTTCTCCAAAGCACCAAAAGAGGGCACTGTTTGTTTGCTAGAGTTTTACTCACACACAGACAATAAAAGCAAAACTAACAATTTGTCATGGACAATTCAGACACTTAATCTGGAAGCCTTCTGCTGGAATTCGAGTTTCCCATAATGACTGTGCATTGTTTGTGTCTCGGAGATATAATCTGCATCAGTAGCGTGTCATTAATGTGTCACGGAACAAGACAAAGACAGATCCCTTAAAAGCCGCTTGGCAGAAGAAGATAAGCTGACATGCTGTCTGAGAACTTTGACTCATGGGCAAAGGTATGAGGAAGTGTTTGCAAGGAGCCTGTACCACACTTGTAAATAAAGGATATCAGTAAATCAAAGAGTTTTACAGTTTATGAATACTGCTTTTTATTTTCACTTAGAAGCGACACTTCCTTATTGGGAATTTTTATTTTAAACATCCGTGAGAAGACGGAAAGGCGTTTTTTCCCCTCGGAGCAATGGCTGTTTGTATAAGTGCACGCAGCATGTCTGTATGTAGGATTGTGAGACAAGCAATTGGCCCCTTTTTACAAAACGTCCTTCATTCATGCAGACAGCTGCCTACAGCAAATTCCTTTCCTGGTTTTTTTTTAAGGCCTGACAAGCTCAACCTCACTGTAATTCGGCTAATGAGTCCATTTAGATGCTGCGAGACAGCCCTACCTCTGTCTGCAGCGGGCCGAGACAAAAAGCTTTTCATCGCCTGTCAGAGACACAGTCGGAGTCAAACCAGTAACGCAAGGTTGTACATTTAGGTGTGGAGATCAATAACTCATCAGAAAAAAGAAGTCTGGACTCCTGCCAGACTTACTGTATGCACTAGTGTGACTTCTCAGTGTGAATAAACATGTCCTTTTTATTTATACGTCAACTATACGCATGGCCAATTTGGCAGAGAAACAGGGAGAATGCGAGTTTAGTTGCTTCAGAAACAAAACTGATTCGTGGTTGTTTAGTGTAACCCAGTCTGATGTTATGCGCTTGTTTTGCTCACCCCTTGCAGCATGTCTGTGAGCTCCCGTCTGCGATTGCGGCATTTGGCGGCGGCTAACTTATTCCTCTCACGCCTTACTCTCCGTTTCTCCTCTTCCTCCGGGGTGAGCTGAGGGCAGCAGAAGGAACACGGCAGGTCAAATACGCTGTCTGACAGGCATGCACCACCATGATCAATATGAAGCGGAGAGCAGCAGTATACAGAGGAGCTGACTGAGAATGTAGAATTCATTGGCCTGATAAATTAACTCAATGTTGAATAAATATGATTTATAATGGGAATGTTATAATCTGCCATTAGCACTGTATAGATAAGCACTTATTTACAACAATAATTAGGAAATATTATAAAGTATTTTATAAAGACTTATTAGGTAAAGCATCATAAACTTTATAATAATTGCTGGTCACTCATTTACTTTTTTCTGCACTGATGTTATTGAATTTGAATATCCATAGTTGTTACAATATACTATTTGTATAATGCATTAATGTGGGGATTTTTTCTTTTCTTCAAGCAAAGAATAACAGTTAGAAACATTTCTAATCATATTTAAATGTATAAAAAACATTATGTGGAATAATTATGAAAAGGATAAGACACTACGATTCCTTGCCAATAAAGTCAATGTATGAGAGCAGATATCAAATATTATGATAATTTACCTTATAAGTAATTCAAATGCTCTATAATATGTTATGAATATTGAATATATATGAGTAATTGTAAATATATTACACAATGCCTTGAGCAGATGATAGTGAGTTTATAATGGATATAGACCGGGGAATCATAGAAAGTGTTCCAGAAAAAAGATAATGGATGCTTTATTTTTAGACAAACCCTTAAAACAGCTATGGAAAATGTAGCTTTATTAATGTCTTATTAAAAACCGAAAAATCCCCCTATAGTGGTCTCTTTGCAGTCCTGTGACCCCCATTGTATCAGCCCGGGACCCTCACCTGTTCATCTCTCTTGCGTCGGCCCCTGGCGTCCCCGATGGAGCGGATGACCCCGGGCCGGGCCAGCGTGTTGTGTCCATGCATCCCCGGGCCGTTGGGCATGTGATGGCCGTACGGGTGGGAGCGAGAGTACGGGTTGGACATGGAGGTGATGACGGTGGGCTGCACCATCCACTGCAGGTCCTGGCTGGTGGTGATTGCATTGATGGTGGGGATGAAGGCACTGTTAGAGCCGGGCATGTCGACCCTGTACTTCTAGAAAAGGAGCAGAAAAAAAGAGACATTTGATGAGCATGAGCACATTTAAGGAGGTTTTCCAGTAGGAGTCAACGCATAATCTCATAAGCATCTTAGTTTCTGTGTACGAGCCCTGCATCGTTCTGCCAACAGCACAATCGCAGACACACACACCACCCACCATTATCAAATTCACACACTTTACACATTACGAGCTGGTAGTAATGATTCAATCCACATGGGCAAAATTCTGCGTTCGTAACCCCTGGAGTGGAACAGTGACACATGCTGTGAATCATGTGGGAAAGCCCAAGGTGTCCGCTGCATCTCACTTTACTATAACATGAGACAAATACTGCGAGAGCTACACACGTCTGGACTGGCAGGTGAGATTACATACATGTTACTGTGGACTTCATAGATACACTATGTAATGGGTCATATGGATGCATTTAACTTTCGTTGTCCAGATGGAGAACATTTCCAGATGGAATTGTAAGGGATCTGATAAAAATGTAATAAGTGTAGAAGTTGGAATCAACTTTTGAGTCAACCAAAAACAATATTTAAAGCTAGATTTGCTTGATTTGGGGTATGTCTAAACCCAAACTGTTTCTGGTCTGAGGACAAGATAATAATTTTGGCACAAGCCCCTTAAATTAAGGATAAAATCCTCTTAGAAGATGACATATATCTAGAATTGACATGCATATGTTAGCTAACTATAGTTATAATCACCAATAAAATGTCAGATCATGTTACTTCATGCCTTAAGAGTCCAAAAAGTTAAACAAACGGGCTGCTTCCCTGCCTGTGTGCCTAAATTACGCAAGTACCCACATTCCCGTTATTCCCGACTATCCGTCGGATATCCCGGCAGCCCATTGGAACTTTGTTTATCTGGTGACTCATTGTGTATGGGATTTGTTAAGCACATGAGGAACGCGGTGAGTTCCAGTAAAGGGGGGGTGGGGGGTGAAGCAGCCAGCTCTAAAGCCAGAAACTTAGCCAGACTTATGAGAGCGGAATCTTTTGGCAAATTTAGCTTCACGATAAGAGCAAAAAACCTATTAGAAAATCCCATTAAAACATAAAGTGATATATTGTATGCAGTAGTGTGTAAGGGAACATTCCATGAGTCGTTATAGGGAAGACCCAGTGTATAAATCCTGATCTGACACGATATATCTGTCTAATAAAATCTGAATTTGTTTTGATGTCCTAATAAAGAGGTCATGTTCCTGCCCGCTTTAATGGGAAACAGGCAGCCAGTGTGAGATTACAGGGAACCGGAGCCATGATGGATAGGGGCCAAAAGTCGTTAACCGTAAAATGTTGCGTGAGCTTGACGAAGTTTTTCCACTGAAGTGCTCTCTACGCAAGAGTTGTCTGCGAGGAAGCAACCTCCTCTTCCCGGATTTATAACCAAATATGTATGGAAATATAGGCATGGCGTCCTCATAGCGTCACATACACAGTAGAATATCAGTATGTAAGGTGTATATCACTAATGCGTTTTCATTTTTTTGGTTTGGAAATGCAGGCTTTTCATTGCCCTGCGCTCCCGGTCTGCCATGTGCAGCGAGACTGTCTAAAAAAAGACTATAATCTAAACAATTTCATTTCAGAGTCCAATAACATAAACATCTGCCACAAATGTCAATTTAACACATTTTGATAAAGTAATCGTCTTTGGTGCTTTCCAACATGGATCATCACCCCTGTGTCAATGCCTGTATGTGGCAGTACTCGCCTGTTGCCTTCTCCTTTGGCTCCATCTCTACCCAGTACATTGCTGTGTAAATAGCTCAAGATATGGCATGTTCTACAGGAATTATCATAACTATTATGTGCGTAAAAAACGTTTTCCAACGCGCAACAATCCCACAAATATGACAGTTTTGCGCACGGATATGAGAGATGAGAGGAAATCACATTCAATTCAATGCGCCCCGTTTCACCAAATCACATATAACATTTACGTATAGAAGTCGTGTTTGATGAAAAATAAGGAAATAATATGTATTTGTGCAAAATCTACATTTCTGTGCCATTTATCGCGCGCCATGCCAGTGCGCACATTATATATATAACCAAAGGTGCATCACCCGGTACTGTTAAGATAAGCTTAAGGTGGATTTTATAGATAATGAGTCCAAAATACTTGTGAATACATCGAGTGTTGCATTTGCTGAGTCACCGATGTCATTGGGTTCAAACGTTTTCCCCCCAAGAGTATGCAATTACAATCTATAAAGGCGGAAAAAACAAATTGACATACAACCTGTAGGATATTCTAAGATGTTTCGCACTTTACACCGTATTAAAGGCTAGGTTATCATGTTCAGGTAATGTCGCGGTGTTTCCTGCTGGTACCTGGTAGCTTGAGGTAGAGATCGGACTTCCGATCGTGCTGCTGCCGCTCGTGAAGGACTCCTGTTGGGCCGGAGAGGTGCTGCTGCCGCGGGACGACGTGTCGTAGTTCCCGGAGTAGTCCTGGTACATGGTCCAGGGAGGAGGGAAGATTTCAGCAAACTGTTTGAATCTGAAACCCCCCCTTTTTTTTTAAATCCTCGCAGAAAAAAGGCACCAACAGAAGAAGAAAAAAATCCTCTGGCTTGTTGTTAATTTGGGATATCCAGAGAATCGTTGGAAATAGGTGCTCCTCTAAACTCACCTAAAACATCGTTCAGATATTGCTATTTAGATATTTTCTCCTGTGCTTCCTGTTTCTTATTTTTAATAATGCTTTTTATTATTCAGGTAAACTACACTATAGACCCTCTCAGGTGCGCAAACTTGAACCTAAAGTCAAATCCAGTTGAGACAAGTGAGCCTGTATTAAGAGTGACTCACGCAGGTTAACAGTCGCTAATCTGCGGAATACTTCGCTACTCTATCTGAGCTCTGTGCTGTTCACGGAACAGTTCTAACTTTTTTTTTCTCTTTTCCTTTTTACCACACTTCCTACAGATGACTCACTTCAATGGCACTATGAAGAACTGCAACGGCTTTTCAACACCAACGAAAGAGCCTACGTCACAGCCTGGGCGTTGCGACTTGTGCGCGGGGAGGGGTCGTGTCCGGATAAGGCAGTGAAAAAGAAAAGTTCCGCTGTGACCGCCTCGCGCGGAGCACACTGGAGATATAAAGGAGGAGAGGGATGCGGGAGAAGTAGCTCGGATATTTGCGGGGAGGTTTATTTTTTCGTTTCGAACGTCAGTGCCTGCTGCGGAGTTCACTGTTTGTCTGACTTGCTTCGGTCCATTGACGCATGTTTCCTAAAATGGACAGTTGCGTCAGAGAGCGCGTGTGGGTTTCCTTGGTAAAGGAAGCGTCAGACACTGGAGGGATTCCCTCCCCTCGCGCGCTGCACTTCGGACACTGGGGCTCTGAGTGTGCGGGTCTCGGTCCGGTTACGGATTTTAAAGCTTTAAGTGTGAGGATAATGAGCACTTGGACACACGATTGGTTAAAGTCGCAACAAACATGTACACTCACGTAGTAAGAATGAGTTTAAAGCAGTAAAAGCAACAGTTGTTTTGCTCCAGAATTCGACATTTGTCATCATCATACAATTCCTATTAAGAGCAGACAGCGTTATTTCATCTTTTTAAGTCTCGCGAGCTCAAATCCACCGCCTTTTATCCGTCCCTGTTAATAAAGACCAATGGAAATGATTGGACATAGACAATTATGCACAATTGCGTCTGTGTGTTATTTGTGCGTCAATTGGAGAGCGTGCAAAAGGATGGCAGCAAGACCATGCAGATGGTCAAATTAACGTGGCCCACTGCTCAGGTCTAGATTAATATTATTACTAGGCCTATAATAATAATAACAGCTTCAAAGGAATCTCAGTGAAATGTGGGCTAATTGTAACTCGGACGCAGCGTATAAACAAGGGCACGGCGCCCGGAATGTGACACACGATATGAAATGGTGTATTAAGCATAATCCAATCTGCCATGGTTCCTATTTTAATCTGTATAGCCTAACTGGTTACATTGAGCTATCTTAAAGCTGTGTGCCAGAAAAAGTCGCTCCATCAAAAAAGTTTCAGAAGGGGGAAGTTGTGTCGAGGGGAAATCATCTGCGGGGGGGTTACACGTCAATTACACTGTAGTTAGGCCTATACTCCAGTTCCTCCAATATGTCACCCTTTCCAAAGTGAGTGTCATTTTCGCTGCATCGCCTTTTGACCTGTGATCTGTGTGGAAAACTTCTGAAAGCACCCAGATGTTCAACAATTTGAATGATATTAATTCATGATTAATGTTTATCATGGAGCCAACGACACACGCTCTTCACCCGCGACGGTGTTGCTAAGCGACACAGTTTCATCTAAATAGCTTGGGGGAAATCTAATCTGCCATAGTCCTATAATTAATGCCGTAATATCGTTTGAGATGCGCCCATCGGCGTCAATTTGGGGCTGGCAAGGTATGGCACTGTGACAGGTTCTGTTCCCGTATGAGTCCAATTTAGTTTTTTAAGTAGGCTACATAATGAGATATCACGCACACATTGGAACACACAGCGTTCAGTGATGCCTGTCAGTCAGACGGTGCTGCTCCAATTTGTCATTCGTCTCACGGATGTTGATGGTTAATGACAGATTCAGGGATTTATTAAAAAGCTGAGGGGCTGACCTGGGATGATCTGCAGGTTGCGAGCCTCATCTCACATCAGAAGGAATCAGCTCCATGTAGAATATATCAGCAGAGGATCTGATAGACAGAGAGGCTGACCTGACGCGCTACAGGTGTCCGAGGTGTCCGTGACGTCAGATTGGTCGATGGCCCTAATGCTGCATTCAAGGACCTGTCTGCAGAATTTGAAGGGCAGGTTATGAAAGGCAGTCAAAGACATAGGTCGAGAGCAATGCCAAAAATATTTCGGTTTGGTGACACATGCATGGTACAGATAGTTGCAGCATTATGTTGAATACATTTGGTAAAGAAAAAACGACTTTGCCTAAAAAATTTCGAAAAATAATATAATAAAAAAGGTTTTCAGTTCGTGCCATCAGTGAGGGAGGACATGTTCATATCTTACTAATATTACAAAGTAAAAATACTTGTCCTGCAATGAAAATGTTCACGTGAAATATGCAAAAGTATAAAGAGGTAAATGTACTTATTAAGGACAGTTAGAGTAAAAGTAGTAAATGCAAAAATATCTCTCGTGGTAATTCAATTATATGTTTTATTATTATAACTTAAGCATTAATGTAAACACATGATTTTACAGTTGTGCCAATTGAAGTACAGCTCATCTTAAAGCTATTTTGTATAGGACATCAACTAAGGATCTTTGACCATTATGCAATAATCTGCTGATTATTTTCTTTGTTAATTGATCGATTGTTTTGTTTGAAAACAATTATGTCACTATTATTATGATTACATATTTGTATTTATTATGTAAAAAATGATTAAGCCTTCAGAAATGTTAAGGGAGGTTAGAGCTATTGTCCACAACAGTTTTGTGGAGAATAAAAAAAAGATGTAAAAAAACGGTAGACCCTAACCCTAAAATGAATCAATTGCAGTGTTATTGAGTTCGTTTTTTCAAAATAAAAAGCAGGGAAAAAGTCAGAGGAACAGAGACTGAGTCAGCATTTTCAGAACTCACAATAATCATTGTGTTTTCCTTTGACACTTTTACTTTCTCCTTCTTCCTTGCCCTTGCCCTCCATTGTTTCCTCCCCCTGAGCGTCACTCAGCTGTCATGTTGCAATACGTTAACCTGGATAATAAAAGCTTGCATGATCAGCGTGGCTAATCTCACGGCTCAGGTGCGCAGGACACACGCAGGCAGCAAAGTGCTGACTCAGAGCACAGACAGTGGGTTCATGAACTCTCAGTGTGACTGACAGTGGGATTCATTGTGATGCTATGGTGCATTAACACACTTTCCATAAGGTAAAGGTATTATGATGCAACACAGCAGAGACGCAGCAATGCATGTCTGCTAAAAGTCCACTACATGGTACAGGAAGCAGGCCAACACACTCCTTTTCTTTTTCCCACACTGTTGAGAATAAAATAAAAACAATCCCATATGGCTCGGTTTCCTCTGACAATGCAGAGACAAACCTGTGACTTTTTAAATAGAAACCCAATCAGCAGTTTCATTAGCATGCCCACTGTGCAAGAAGATAGCTTTTTCCCCTCTAAAGAGTCTGGATGCCAGACTAACCGACAGCTCCTGTGAATTAAAGTAACCATGCTTCAGTGATTTAATCTACTGGTTGCCTTGGTGACTCATGTAAAGCAGTCAAACACAACAGCACAGAGGGATAATTTGATCGCTCTTGACCTCTGGAGTGTGGGATTGTGGAGAGAAGAATATTATTTAATTGGCTGCATTATCCTCCAATGAGGCCAATCACATTCAGGTATGCAGGCTGCGCAGCAGCTGCTGCTCAGCATCTTCCTCTTCTTCACATGCAGTGTATCCGGACTGCATATTCAGACACGCTCACACATTCATGTCAACATCCTCTGGCTGCTTGAATTCCTTATGTGAAAGCAATTCACTAACGCAAACGCGAGCATTCAGTGTTTCGACTGGGAAAGGATGAAGATTAGAGGAGTTAGAGAACTAATGACCACAAGTGTTGTGTGCAGGGTATCTTCAGATTTTTCACTAATGTGATCATATTAGACAATCATAAAAATATATGTTACTGAAGCCACGATTCATTCTATTAATTCCAAGCAGGTTGAAACTTAATCAATCCAAGTTGATCCACTTCCTTTGAACCAATCCGAAATCATCCAATCAAATTGCAGAGAGACAACCATATAGGACTAATGTTACGTAACTGAGGATCACCTGGCCAAAAATCATACAAAAAGTATATGGTGGTCAACCAAAAAACAAATTACATGCAAAAATGCAGATTGAAATTGGTCAAGAGCACATTATGAGCTGTTTGGGACTTGGGACACAAAGACTTGAGTCTTACTTGTCACTCGTAAAACAGTGACTTTGTTTTCAGTGGTTCATTGTCACAAGAATTGCAGGTCTGCATATTCAATAGGGTTATATGCTTGAGGCTAAATATTTCATTTGCAGACTATTAATTACCTCAACAGGTTCCACTTATATATACATCTGTCAGAATAGGACTTCCTTCTTACTCGCATGCAGGGCTGAGGCGTGGTTAGGTGATGAAACTTTAAAAAACCATCACCACTGCTGGAGCTGAATCTCTTCTTACAGTGAGGCATTTCAGTCATTTTAATTACTGAGACACATTTCAGACAGAAATCCTTTACCAGTATTGTGTGCTGGACCTTAAACAGAAAGAAAAGCGGTGCAGGAATTGCCGCGAGGTGGAAATTAGAGGGTGGGAAGGTCTTATTAAATGCCACCACGTAGCAACCGACTGTTTTCATGCTTGTTTGCTGCTGGAAACAAATCAAGTGACCTCATATGACACAACTTGTTTTCATGCCATTGTGCAGATCCACTAGCTGACGAACCCTGCAAATATGTTTTGTCACAGGAGATTGCGGTGAAGCAAGGTGCTCCATTCTGTAATTTACTAGGCAGTTCTGTTTAATCAGGTAACCACAGGGAACTATAGCAAAGTGGAGACCCACATAATCACCTGCACTGAGAGCACACTGCCGTCCAATCACCACGCTCTTGACAGTAACTTCACAAGGTATCAGTTCCTGGTACAATGGAAGGAAGTGCGTCACAGTACCTCGAGACAAAGAAGAATGGAACGCCGCTCGGGCAAAAACAGCAGAGAAGACAGAAGGGGAAATGTTGGAACATGTGGTGGAAGAAGTGAACAAATAACAGGGTCTGAGAGGAGAAAAAGGGGACGAGTGGTCGGCGGACTTCTAAAGGGCGCAACCACCTGCAGCTCGCAAATAAACAGGAGCTCGCTTCCACTCTTACGGGAAAGCTTATTTTCAGTGGAGGAAAACAAAAGCCCCCACTCGATACTAGAAAGGAAAATATATTGGCAGCCTGACAA